TTGCTGTTCTCATCCTCCCGGCTTTTCCGCCGGACAGATCAGCCAATAGCGCTCTGCATGGACCCTGCAAAAATTAAATTCATTTTCAGAAAATCATTTACTCATAATTTAAGTTTTATCCACTAGACTGTAAAATATATTTAAATAATCAAATCACTTTAAAAAGTAATTATACGTGACTTTATTTATATAATAAGTATTGGTAATTGATAGTTTAAAATAAAATTTTCAACTATAAAAATTTAGTATACAACTTTATATTATTTACCATTAATTTGCAAAAAAATATAATTAGAAACCGATAATTAAGCTTATATATAGGAGTAATTAAGTTGAAGGCAACAGTCACTTTCTTCTTTTGGATTTTCCGGTAAATTTGGATTGTCATGTTGGAACATCAATATTAGTGATATATAATTAGGTGAAACTAGAAATAAATTACAACTTGTCACTTTTTTGTATTATTTAATTCAATAGTGAAAAAGACACTATTAAAAAATTTGTTGAGAATAAAGTTGTTGGTCTTTTGAAAACGTAAAGAGTAATATTACATCACTTTAGTAGGGATGTCTTTGCATATACAATCTATTGTTATTCTGTATTATTCACCCATGTAAATTATCTAAAGGGATTGTTTTCCCTATCTTATTGGTGTCAGTCAAAATACAGATAATTTTAACAGATATTCATGTGCATATTTAATTATTTTTTAGCCAATACTCTGGAATCTATTTTTTTTTGTTTGTACCTAAATTCTGCGGAATATATATATTTCTAGAATAATTATCTAGCTGGAGGTTTGGATTTTACTCACAATCTAAATTATATGTGAGCAAAATTATTAAAATAATAAATAGAAAACTATACTCCATACTTACACAAGTTTGCCGTGAGTCTGACGTCTTCTACTGCCGTTTTAGCAAAAATACTTTCTTTTTTGGTTGAACAGTAATTAATTATACTTTCTGGTCTATGTATATATATTTTAAAGAAAAAAATCAAAACTAAGATGAAATTTTACCTGTAACATGTTGTTAGCAACATCAAGGACCCAAAACCCAACGACAAAAACAGCAATGGCACGAGGCTTAGACCCTTTTCCGAGAGGGTCACCGGAGGAATGTCCAAGGTCAGCAGCAAATCCGATGAGGAAAACAGCTATGGTGACAAGGGCGGCGCCGGCGGCAATGAACGGCCGGCGACGGCCAAAACGGGAGGTGCAATTGTCACTGTAATAACCCACAACTGGCTGAACAATCATACCAGAAATAGGTCCACAGAGCCAAATAAAAGAAGCAAATTTATGTGGGATACCGAGAAGTTGAACATATGGAGTCAATAAAGAAAGTTGAAGAGCCCAACCGAATTGAACTCCAGCAGCTATGGAAGCCACCATTATTATCTTCCATAACTTGGATTTTGGTAAAGGCTGCTCAACTGCTAGAGAAGAAACATTATTAAGTTTTTTGGTACCATTCTCCATGTTTTCTGAACTAGCTACTGTGTGTCTGTGTGTGTTTTTTGGTTGTGGAGAGTTTGGATTGAATGTATAGGGAATGGGAGAGTGGAGGGGTATTTATAGTGTTTTTTGGAGGCAATGCATGACTGCTACTGGCAACTGTTACAAGGCTTTAAAACCAGCCCCCACTGCTGCCACCCCCTACCCCACCCTTAAAAAAATGGATTTAGTTGTTAATATTTGCCCTTTTTATTTAATTATTTTTTTTTTGTAATCAAAATTATATATAAATCTTTTTTTAGTTACTAGTCAAAAGTAACTTTTGCACTATTATTATAAATAAGGGTGTTACCATTTATTCTTATATGTAAATCATTGAAAGATGTATTAATATTCATGAGATTATCAGTCAATCCTTGAGGATTTAAGGATAAATAATTAATTAAAAGAAAATTCTTAAAAAGGGAAAGGTAGATCTTGAAATTTTAGTTTGAGAAATATAAGTGGAAAAGTTTTCTAAAAACCGGGTATCATTTAAACGTATTTTTTTCCACCACTTAAAATTTGTTTGGTGAGTGAAAATGCTTATATTGAATGCTAGGTAGGTAGTGTAATACTATAAAAAAAATTGGTCCTTTGGAAAATAAACCTAGTATGTAGGTAGTGGGTGCATATTAGAGGCGAACCCACATGATCATAAGGGTGGTCAACTTACAATCCTTCATCGAAAAATTACACTGTATATAAAATTAAAATATTACATTTTATAGATATATAACATATAATGAACACCCTTTATCGAATTTTTTTATTCTTCTTTTAAATTTTAACATCATCTTGATCATCCTTGGGGCTAACCATACATGTATAATTACTATATAGAGAATGGACCTATTTTTGCATATCAAACTTATATCTATCTAGATTTTGCAAATCACGTGAAAGTTTTTCCCTCTCCCAATTATTCTTTGAGTACTTTTGTCTCCTTTTAAATTTATTTGGAAAAGAAAATTTTCAATTTCATGATGTCTTCATTTCACATTTTTTTTGTTCTCTCGAGCACTATCAGATCAACACATTTTAGAAACATAATTTTATTCGTCCCAATTTATGTGAAGGGGTTTCAAGTACACAAGGGGTACCTACTTTCAAGTATAAATTTTTAGGCTTTTAAAAATAAATAATTTAAAATATTCAATTTTTTTTAGAGAGTCATAGTATAAATAAGATATTTGACTTGGCAAATAGTGACACATCCATTTGGAAGGATAAACAAATTCAAAAGAAAAAGAAGTCCCTCTGAAAACAGAGGTCAATGGCTAGATGTAAGAGTAGTACGGTGCATTAAGCTCCCGCTATACGCAAGGTTCGAGAAAGAACCGGATTACAAGGGTCTATTGTACGCAGCTTTACCTTACATTTCTGCAAAAGACTATTTTCATAGCTCGAACCAGTAACCTCCTGGTCACATGACAACACCTTTACCAGTTACGTACGCCAAAGCTTTCCTTCTCAACGGCTAGTTGTAATTTCACAAATTTAAACTCTTCACCTAAGAATTAAAGAAAAATAAGGGTAGCTTGCTGACAGGGAGGGGAAAGGGCAAAAGTAGAAGAGAAGACTTATCCAAATAGGACCAGGAAAACACACAGGAAGTTACTGCCACATAAGTTATTGTCATTAAATTTACAGTTGCAGCTTTTCTTACCTTTTTTGTTATGTAATTTCCATAAATCTTACTGTATGTCTCGAAATAAAGACAACACTGGTTGTGGCTCTAGTTACTTCCATATGAATTGTTTGTTTTTTCAGTGAAAAAGTTACCAATTTCACTAGACTTTAAACCTTGACGATGACCACATATTCAATATAAAACAGGATGCTAGGAAGAAAAATTATTCCTTTGAATACCTGTGTAACCATTTAAGGGAGTTGAAGTTATTAACTATTGGAAATTAAAGAAACTTGAACGTATTTAATTTGAATACTTAAATTAGACCTTTTCACGAAGATAATGCAGTATTACTCCTTTGAATTACGTTGCTTGTTTTGAGACTACATTCTGTTTAAGGTAAAAAGAATTCTTTTAGTTTTGTTTAAAAGATAAAGGCAATAATGCATATTAATTTCATGAAAGTTAGACGAATATATTTCTTCCTATAAAAATGGGCGGTGCTCCATGTCAAACATAATAAAAATATTTCTAATTTTGTTCTTTGTCTGAATAATGTTAATAAAACAGAACCTTTATCTAAAACTATTACCAATTAGAATAAAAAACATCTCTTTTATAGAATGTACTATTATTGAGAAGAATGATGCTTTGTTCTCTGCGTCTATAATTGAGGCCATATGAAAGATAAGTGAATACATTCTCTTTTATATCAATTTTACATTACCTATTTGTTCCCGTGATAAGATCCTTTCAGAATGTAATTTCAATTTATTTTTTGACGTATATTACTTTTGGAGGGTGCCTACGATTTGCGAGAGTAAATCGGATTTCGGATGGCAGCCTACTAATGTTACATATACCCGATATTTACACTAAGTTAATAGATGCATGATAAATATTTTGCATATAATTTTTAACAACTTAACCATGATTAAGTAATATAATTTTTTCACATTANTATATATATATATAAATGTTTCTCTATAGCCCCTCCTATAATTATTACTAACTTTATTATACTAGATTATATATCTAGGAACTACTTATAGTGGGGAAGTCAAAGATTGTAACTGTGCAACTGTAACTCGGATACGAATTACTAGTACTTAGTATTAACAATAGTATCTTTTAAAGTTTTAAAAACAAGGAAAAAGAAGATGAAGAGTCTGATAGGAATTGAAACTTGTACTATCAGGATGGAAAGTAGAACTAATTCCGTTATTGAGTTATCCCTCAGGTCTCATATCGAGATAGCAGTTAGAACAAAACTTTTCTAAAGTCTTTTTATTATATAAAGAAGGCCTAAAGATGGTTCAAAGACTGTATCTAGTACCAAAGAAAATGTTTGATAAATTTATGTAAAAGAACCATTTCTTTCTGGTAGGGAAAAAAAAATTCGCTAAATTCGATTCTGTTGATGCAATCAAAGGGGTGGGCAAATCCTTTTTTTTTTTTTGGAATCTTTCTATCCAAAGAGCTTTATTCTTTCAACATAATAGGTTTAATTATCTGCACCAAAATGTATTATTATTAGTGCAATTAACTTGTATCTAGGTACGAGCGTATATGTAAGTTTTAAGATAATGCTTAGGGCACTTATGATGGTTTATAAACCATCTTTAGATTCATAAGATAATACTACTTGAGATTTATTAATAATTGTGGTGTGTGCAGAAAACTTTTTCTTTTCTCATCTTTTCTGTGTCCTGCTCTTTCTCTAATCAAATCGAGTTCTAATTCATATGGATTTTTGTTAATTATTAGAGTTTCCTTTCAGGGAATCAATGTCTTTACATTTATTACATACTTCATCTTGTGACAAATATTAGTCATTTTCTCAAATTATATTTGTTTTAAAATTCGGCTATGGGAGCCTGGAGGAGTAGTGGGGATGCAAGCGCTATGTGGAAGACGACGAACTGCACAAGGGAGGCGAGAGAGGTGTTAGGGATCTCAAAGGGTTACTCTGGCGGGCACAAAAGCGACTGGTGGTGGAATGAAGTGGTCCAAAGTAAAGTGGAAGCGACGAAGGCGGCGTACCTGAAATTAGTAGGGAGCACATGCGAGGAGGAGAGGAGAGCGAACATAAAGAGATATAAGGTAGCTAGGAAGGAAGCGAAGTTAGCGGTCACGGGGGCTAAGACTGCAGCGTTTGGGTGTTTGTACGAGGAACCGGGGGACAAAGGCGGGGATAAGAAGTTATTCCGGCTGGCCAAGGCAGAGATGAAGGCTCGGGATCTGGACCAAGTGAGGTGAATCAAAGACAAGGATGGTAGAGTATTGATGGGAGATGCACAGATTAAGCGGAGATGACTGACTTACTTTCATATACTTCTGATTGAAGGGGGACAAGGATATTGTGCTAGGTGAATTGGGACATTTCGAGAGTCATCGAGATTTTAGGTACTGTTGACGCATTAAGGTTGAGGAGGTGATGGGGGCTATGCGTAAGATGAGTAGGGGCAGAGGAACCGGGCCAGACGAAATTCTAGTAGAATTTTGGAGGTGTGTGACTAGAGCAGGCTTGGAGTGACTGACTGAGTTGTTTAATATTATTTTCAGGACGAAGATGATACCGGGTGAGTGGAGGTGGAGTGCGGTGGTACCATTGTATAAGAACAAATGTGATATCTAGAGTTGTAACAACTATAAGGTTATCGAGTTACTAAGTCATACCGTAAAAGTTTGGGAGAGGGTGGTGGAAGTGAGGGTGAGGAGGACGGTGTCTATATTTGACAATCAGTTTGGGTTCATGCGAGGTCGTTAAACTATAGAAGTTATCTACCTTATTAGGAGGTTGGTGGAACAATACATGGATAGGAAGAAGGATCTGCATATGGTGTTTATTGACCTGGAGAAAGCGTATCACAAGGTACCTAGGGAGGTTCTTTGGAGATGCTTGGAGGCAAAATGTGTGCTGGTTGCTTACTTTAGGGAGATTAAGGACATGTATGATGGAGGTAAGACTTGGGTTAGGACAGTGGAATGCGACTCGGAGCATTTTCTGATTCTTATGGAGTTACACCAAGGATCCGCGCTCAGCCCATTCTTATTTGCCCTGGTGATGGACGCACCAACACACCATATTCAAGGGGAGGTGTCATGGTGTATGTTATTTAATGATGACATAGTTCTAATTGATGAGACGTGAGACAACGTTAACGAGAGGCTGGAGGTTTTGAGACTGACCCTTGATTCTAAGGGTTTCAAGTTGAGCATGACTAAGACAAAATATCTGAAGTGCAAGTTCATTGCCGAGTCGTAGGAAGCGGGCTTGGACGTGAGGCTTAAATCACAGGTCATCCCCAAGAGAAGCAGTTTCAAGCACCTTGGATCGGTTAGCTAGGGGGATGGGGAGATCGACAAGGATGTCGCACACTGTATAGGTGTGGGATAAATGAAATGCAGGCTAGCATCTGGAGTCCTGTGAGACAAGAAGTGCCACTGATGCTCAAAGGTAAGTTTTATAGAGTGGTAGTTAGATCAGCCTTGTTGTATGGGGTAGAGTGTTGGCCAGTTAAGAACTCACATATCCAGAAGATGAAAGTAGTAGAAATGAGGATGTTGAGGTAGATGAGCGGACACACTAGGATGGATAAGATCAGGAATGAGGATATTCGGGAGAAGGTGGATGTGGCTCCTGTGGATGACATGATACGGGAAGCAAGACTCAGATGGTTCGGGCATGTGCGGAGGAGAAGCCCAGATGTCCCGATGAGGAGGTGTGTGCGGTTGTCTTTGGCGAGTATGAGAAGAGGTAAAGAGCGGCCTAAGAAGTATTGTGGAGAGGTGATCAAACATGACATGGCGTGCCTTCAGATTTCTGAGGACATGACCCTTGATATGAATGTGTGGAGGTCGAGTATTAGGGTGTAGTTTAGGAGGTAGTTGAGCATTTTTCTACTTCGTATCGGGTGTGAGACTAGTCTGATAGGGTTTTGTCTTAGACTGCTAGTGATTAATGTTGTGTTCACACTATTCTTCCCTTTTTCATAGTACCAACCTTATTTACTTGTTATTGTTATTCCTTTTCATCTATTTTCTGGTCCTTATGATGCTGTTATTATTTATATGGTTTCTGTTGATGGTACTGATATTTTGTCTCTTTTCTTCTTCTTGAGCCGATGGTCTATTGGAAACAAGTCAACAACCACTATGCTCTCTCGGGGTAGAGGTAAGATCTGCGTACACACTAACCTCCCCAGACCCCATTTGTAGAATTTTACTGGATTGTTATTGTTGTTATTATTGTATATATATATATTTTTTAAAATATTTTACATCATTTCGAAAAACAACAAATTGTTGGCGTTATTTCTTTCTTTATTTCTTTTCAAATCTGCCCTTATTGTTTAATATAGTTCCTTCAAGTGAGACAATTAATGAGCCATAAATGATAGTTTAGATAAACTACTTTTATAATTAAGACTATATGTATCATGTCATTATTAGGGACGTGATAAAATCTTAAAAGACTGATAATACGGATGAAAGGGAATAATATTTATTTGTTCCCATTTGTTATTAACAAACCCAAAAGTTTAATGTTGCATAAGCTAAAAATAGTTATGGGGTAATTGATAAATGTAAAGATAAGTGATAGAAATTGACAATAATATAAAGCAAACCAGTGTTTGGACAGAGCCCTCGAGCTAGTTAAGCAAGAATAGTTAAAATACAACAAGCTGATAACCAAGAGGATGTAAATTAAAGAGAGAATATTATATTGCTTTGATCTGTGTGAATGTAATGTCTTTACAAATGATGAGGACTCCTCTTTATATTTTAGAGGAGTCCTAATTATGGTATAACTCTAATTACAGAAGGAAATCATATGATTAGCTAATTAACTGCCTTTGATTTAATCCGTTCCGAGATTCCCGCCGTGATCTTCGACTAGTCACGGATATCTCGCTTTCCCGTTATTGTGCTTCGCTCGGAGTCTGCCCCGTTTGACCTCGATCACCGCCGGCTTCGATCTCGGCAAGCACTTCGATTCTCGAACACAGTACCTTGCCTTCGTCACTTTGATCCGCTCCACTTCGAGGCTAACCCTCGAAACAATTCCCTGGTTTCGATTAAATAACAAAATCGGGTAGGCGCGATTTTAATCGTATACATAGTGCATTATAAAGTTTGTCTCAAGAACGTAACACCCAAATAAGAAAAGAATATATTCATATTTATATACGTTTAATATTTGTGGTCCTCCAAAATTGTAACAAAATCTTATATATATCCCACTATTACGTAACACAAATGTCACTAATAAATCAAATTGTCTTTCTTCCTTAGCTCCGAAAACTCATAAACTAAAAAAAGAATATTATTCCTCATTTATTGAACGAATAGGAATTGAAGAAAGAAAGTGAAAAAGGAACAAGTAGAAGAGTTCATGAGATGTAAGGAAAGAATCTCAAAATGGTGTATCTATCCAACCCTCTGATATCATCACTACCATATATGCAATTGGCAAAGGACCTTTTTTTGGGTTCTCTGCATGTCTTTTACTAGTTGGCTATTGGTCCCTGTCAACACAAGGCTTACAAAAATTAACAGCTAAATATTTTTTCTATCTCAGATGTAAATTTACTTCTTTCTGTTCTAAATATTAGTCGATTTAACGAGAAATATTTGTTACTTTATTTATTTTCCTAACTTCAACTGCTTCTGTTAAGAAAATGTTAATTAATCGAGACGTTTAAGAAAGAGACGAATAATAATTTAGACAAATACTTTTACGACTAAAGCTATGACGATCTTACTTAAGGCCTGTAAAAAATTTGAAAGCCGAATAATATGGACTATATATATATACATATATATATGTTTTTTTTTAATTTCAAGAGACAAATGACTTTTTTCATTGAAAACTTTAAATATAATTTTTTTCGCGATTTGGGATAAGATATATTAAAAGTTACTATTATTTTTTTTTCCGTTGTCGTTAAGCATATGGAGTAATATTTTTGTGTTTAAAGGATTAATTAGTCCGAGTTCCTTATTTTAACAAGAAAAATATTTTTTGAACTTGCTTTTTAAAAGTAACATGTTATCACGTAAATCCTTTTAAATACTTTATGCATATCAAAATATTTGATTTTAATATTTTTTTATATAAGTTAAATAAATTAGATGACAATTAATATAATATTAGAAACAAGAGTAAATGCAAACGAGGTAAAAAGGGTTGGTTAACCTACACAAAAGAAGAAGTAAACAAAAAGAAAAGCCAAAGAACAAAAAGAAATGGTGAACATGCAGCCAGGCCAACCATCACTAAGTAATGGAAAATTCTAGTAGTAGTAGTAGTAGTAGTCTCTATTGTGTCAATGATTAAGTTGAATTCCATTCCTTTGGGCAATGAGATATTGATGCCCAACCACTTTCACATATTTTTAAAGTTTTTTCATTCTCCAATTTGCTTTTTCTACTTTTCTTTTTGTTCCTTTTAGTGGTAATTGGGAGAAGGGAATTTGCTTGAACATACCAAAAGATCTGCGGAAAAAAATATTCCCAAGGATCTTGCAACCTAACAACATTGATAGTTGGCAAGAGGTAAAACGTAACCGTGCTTGATGTTTATATTGAATTATATCAACTTAATTACGTGTTTTTAATAAAGTAAAAATATACATTAATTAATCATAACCAAGTGAAAGAAGACTATATGTAAATATATGTTATATCTCTATTAATTGGATGTAAACATTTAATATGAATAAGTTTCTGCTTACTAAGTGTTAGAAAAATTGTAAATAACATCTGAAAGGAAGCGTCCCTCGTGGATGAGAAAGAGTTTTCTTCTTCACCTTATAATAAATTGTCATTTATTAAACTTGTAAAGAACTAGTAAAAGGATTAGACTTGCACACATGAGAAATACCATAGGCCTGAGTGTCACGATCCAAAATCCACAAGTCATGATGGCATCTAACCCGACCCGTCAGATCAACCAATTAACAGTTAACATAATTTTAATAAAATAAATGTGATCAACAATTGATATATCTGGATTTCAAATATCATCCCAAGAACTGGTAGTACAAGACATGAGCTACTAAGACTAGATTATTGTAAAAATGGATATGAAATAAATTCAACTTCTATTTGAAATGTACTTAAATAGAATTCAACTGTAGAACTACACAGGGACAAGTGGTAGCCACATCCGGAAGGCACGAACATCTTTAGAGTTAGCTCCCGACATCACCCGCAGCTCCACTCCCAAAATCTGCACGCAAAGTGCAGAAGTGTAGTATGAGTACAACCGACCCCATGTACTCAGTAAGTATCTTGACTAACCTTGGTGAAGTAGTGAAGAGGCTTTTTAGTTAAAATATACTCACTGATATAACCTATACAAAAGACTAGCAATAGAACAATACTAGAACATAACAGAACATCGTACAAGGAAACAATTATGCGAAGCAGTAAATGATTTCTAGAAGAACCACGATTAATATTCCTCAATATCACGACCAATATTTTCCTTAGAGCGATAACTAACAAATCACAGTAATAAATCAATAACTTTCATCGTGTGAGAAATATACTCAATATATCAAATTCAACGGCACAACAACACCCTTCGTGCATTTATCTCATTCTCACCAAATATACGTGTAACAGTAC